CAAGCTCAAAGGGTATCAGCTAAAACTCCACATTGATGAGAATGTTCAACCAGTCGCTCAGCCAGTACGCGGAATTCCCTTTAGTAGATGAGCTAAAGTCACTGAGAAACTTGAAGAATTGCTCAAACCTGATGTCATCGGTAAGGTGGAGGGACCAAAAAGGTGGGTGAATGCCTTAGTTGTGGTTGAAAAGCCTAATGGTGACATCAGAATATGTCTTGACATGAGGCAAGCAATTTAGGCCATTGTACGGGAGAAACACCCAGTAGAGACACTTCAAGAGGTCTCCTATGCCAACGTTTTCTCCAAGCTAGATCTAAATATGGCCTTCCACCAAATTAAGTTACATCCCGACTCTAGCGACATTACAACATTTGCTGCGCCTGATGGTTTATGCAGGTATAAGGGCTTACTCTTTGGCGTGAACTTGGCCACGGAAAAATTCCAACAAATCGTGTGGCAAGTAATTAAAGGCTGCCAAAGTGCACACAGCCTCCATGATGACCTGCGAGTCCTTGGGGCAGACGACAAAGAACACGATGAGAACTTAGACAGGGTCATGCGCAAGCTGAAGGAATGTGGCCTCACCCTGAACTATGATAAGTGTGGCATTGATTTTAGTAGCATGGTTTACATGGGTAATGTACTCTCTGGTGAAAGACTGAAAGTCTCCAGTGAACGAGGGAAAGCTATAGTTGAAGCACCAACGCCCCAGAACCAGTCTGAAGTAAGNCTGACGACATGGAAAACCTTGTAAACCAAATTGACAGAAAGACCCTACTAAAGATCAAATTCCCAAAAGTATTTCAAGGTTTTGGCAAGCTCAAAGGGTATCAGCTAAAACTCCACATTGGTGAGAATGTTCAACCAGTCGCTCAGCCAGTACGCAGAATTCCCTTTAGTAGAAGAGCTAACGTCACTGAGAAACTTGAAGAATTGCTCAAACCTGATGTCATCGGTAAGGTGGAGGGACCAAAAAGGTGGGTGAATCCCTTAGTTGTGGTTGAAAAGCCTAATGGTGACATCAGAATATGTCTTGACATGAGGCAAGCAATTTAGGCCATTGTACGGGAGAAACACTCAGTAGAGACACTTCAAGAGGTCTCCTATGCCAACGTTTTCTCCAAGCCAGATCTAAATATGGCCTTCCGCCAAATTAAGTTACATCCCTACTCTAGCGACATTACAACATTTGCTGCGCCTGATGGTTTATGCAGATATAAGCGCTTACTCTTTGGCGTGAACCTGGCCACGGAAAAATTCCAACAAATCGTGTGGCAAGTAATTAAAGGCTGCCAAGTTGCATACAACCTCCATGATGACCTGCGAGTCGTTGGGGCAGACGACAAAGACCACGGTGAGAACTTAGACAGGGTCATGCGCAAGCTGAAGGAATGTGGCGTCACCCTGAACTATGATAAGTGTGGCATTGATTTTAGTAGCATGGTTTACATGGGTAATGTACTCTATGGTGAAAGATTGAAAGTCTCCAGTGAACGAGGGAAAGCTATAGTTGAAGCACCAACGCCCCAGAACCAGTCTGAAGTAAGAAGTTTCCTCGGGTCACTTCAATATGGTGCGAAGTTCATCCTAAACTTTGCAACCATATCAAGTCCATTGTGGGACCTAACCAGCAAAGATGCTAAGTGCCAGTGG